GGAAACCCTCGCTCGCACCAAACCGCCCGCATTTGGGTTTAAAAAAAAACCCAAAAACAAAAACCCAAACCTATAATAACAAAGCCAGAGGTGGTTTAGGTGAGTGGGTGCTCGTGGTGGCACCGTGGCAGGGATGGTTTGGTGGGTCTCCCCACACCGCGGCCGAAAGCAACCGAGACAGTCGTGAGCCGGGAGAGAGCGCGTCCCCCTGGAATCCGAGGGAGCGCAGTGCCCCATCCTGCCGGATTCCACCCTCTCAGGCTCCACGGGCGGACTGAGAAAGGCGGACGCCCGTTAGCAGGAATGAACGGCCGTGAGGGAGCTAAATATTATATGAATAATCGAAAAATCGCGTTCAATTATGTTTTAGGGTTAATAGTCAAATTGCGGCTACAAAATCTTTTTATGTTTCATGGTTTGCTGATGGTGTAAAGAATCTCCATCAGGTCTGATCGCCTAAGTTCATAGCTACACTGCATATGCTTTTAAAATGTGAATGTTTCCAGTTGAAAACTGGTGCATGACAGATTAAAATGCAAAGAAAACCTGGGGGAGATTTTGAAAATGCACACATGACAACTCTAGAAATATATTAACCATGAGCATTTGGAAACTTTGAACTCCTTTTAAAATGCAGCTAGCCTCTGAAAATTATTAATACAACAGTGAGAATCTAATGGAGGTTGGAATCTAAAAACCTACCTTGATGATATCTGCTGTTACAGTAATATAGACATACTGTAAATGTATTTTAAAATATATAGCCCATTTAATTCCCCAGCTATAAACTGGTGAGAGAGAGTGAAAGCAATAGAAAGGGAGACAATATCACTTTTGTTTTTCTTCTTCTTTTTTTAAAATGTTCTTTTTATTTTCCTTTTTATTTCTTTTTTTTTTCTTTTAAGAAGCCGAAGCTTTATGAAGATCTCATTGGAATCCAGCAGATGATTAATGTGAAGATTTGGTAGGAAATCTGGAGAGCTGTATTAAAGCTCAGATCTCAGGTTCATTTCGATCAGCCAGCCGTGAACTCTGGGCCGAATTCATTACACTTTAATAGTGCTGGGAGAGGAAGAAAATGCAATTTCTCATTCCATTAGAAAACTAGAAAATACTCTCAGCTTGTCCCCTATTAAGATGTGGCAGGTGACGGGACCATTGTGGGGGACACGGTCAATGGAATTACAGCACATTATTTTTGTTCATATAAAATATTGGAAGGCAAGCCTGACTGTGCAGAAGTTATTTCACTGATTTAGTTTTTATGTAAATAAAATATTGAAAGTTAATTAATCCGTGCTAGAGACTAATGATTATGCTTATTATATTGCATTTGATCGCGTAATTTGCATGATTCTCGCATTGCTGCTTAATAAGCCATTCCAGGTTATAAATAATTCTGAAATTGGTTTCTAATAATGGCATGCTATAAAAAGAATGGTTTTATTACAGCAGCTTGAAAAGCAGAGCAATATCAGATGTGGAATTGGACTCTTGTTTAAGCATCAGCCAGTTTAATAATTATTTAAATGTATCATATACATTAAATACAGATCTAAAATGAGGAGAGTGGTGATTTATCCTGGCATCTAAAACCCTTAAAAACATATACAGCCGCTATAAATTAAGCATTTGGAGCATTCCTAATCAGTGAGGAGCCCATGTACTGAAAGGAATGTGTAGGCTATCTGTTAACTATAAAGAAAACTCTAAAGTACTCGTATAAGAACATAAACTAATTATTATTTAATTTAAATTTGATCAAGGACTAGTGATACATCGGATTATGAAGTAAATATATTAATTTTTTTTTTGCCTTAGATTACATAATGTTAATCATTTTGAAGTGTTAATTAAGAAGGTTATGTTGATCTGATTACTTTTTAAATTACAGAACATTATTGTAAAAAAAAAATTAAATTGACACTCTATTAAACTGTTTTTATCAGCAGTCGCGAGCTATTAGCATTGGTTTAAGATTATGCCAAGGCCATTAAAACACTTTGTCTTTCTTTCTACGAATTTCTTTGATGTGCTGTTAGAAAATAACTATTTCCATTTTATATTTTAGTTCATTTACCACACTCCTAATATTGAAATTGGTATCATTAACCTTTGGGAAACCCAATAAAGTTTAATAGACCTCGTTTTCTTTTTTTCATAGAGTCAGTTGTCCAATTATATTTTATTTGTGAATCTAATTTCTTTTTTAATTTAAACTAATTATAGTTCTGTGTAGGCTGAGTCAAATTGTTTTACTTTTTAAAAACAGACGTGCTTTTTCTGTCACATTCAAGAACGGAATCTGTTTTCTTTCATAAAATGTTCATTTAGGGATTTCTCTTCACGTGTCTTTATTTAGCTGAGGATTTTAGCTGTGCTTGCCAATAGGGATTTTGTGACCGCGCTGAAGCGCTTCAGCAGCAGCAGCCCCGGTGCACTGTGCTGAGCCGGTGTGCGCATCCCACAAGTGCCTCTCTTGTGCAGCCTGTCATCCCTCGGCATGGACTCGCCTAGAAAGTCGCTACAATAACCTTATGCACAAAAAAGCTGCGTCTGAGCAGTCTAGCGCTTTGCACCTTCTCCCCCTCTACCAAATTTCGTTTACATTTATTTGTCTAAATAGTTTCCTACTGTCCGGTGGGCATATATATATATATATATATATATGTCTATGTGTGTATATATACGTATTTTAGAGAACAAAGTGTGCCCTAGCTGATGAAGTTACTCACAACCCCCGCCGTTCCCAGACATTATAAAAGCCAGTATGGGGAAAGTCCGAGTCCAGACACAACTGGCTTTTATCGAAGTGCCTTTTTACGAGCCGGTACGCCTTCCCTCGCAGCCCACCTCGGCTCTCAGGGCGGTGGGCTTTGGCGGACGCCCCTGCCCGGCGCTGCCGCGGCCGTGTGGCCATCAGCACCCTGGACAGCGGCCCCGCCGCCGCCACCGGACTCCGCTCCGGGGCAAAAGGAGTCATTCCCGGCAGGTCCGGCTCGACTCTTAGCGCCGGGCTATTGCGAGGACTGAGACCGTTCTTCTCGGGCTGTCCCTCCCCGGACTCCCTCCAGCCACGGGTGGGGCCGTGGGCTGAGGGAAGGTCAGCCCACGCCCCGCTCGGGACCACCGCGCTGCAGGTGGGTAGGATAGAGGAAAAGGAGACACCCCAAGGTGACACTTCTACGGAAAGGGGAGCGACGCATGTCTGATTTCAAGGCTTTCTGACCAAACTGTTGCACTCAGTAAATAACTCACCAGGGGTGGGTTATTTACCCCGCCGTCGGGCTGAGGTTTGGGGCACCCACCCCGCTCCCCGTTGTGCCTGTCCTCGCCATCGGCCAGCCCTGCAGCCGTCCGTGCGAGTGGGGAAGGGCGGCAGGCACTGCGCGGGGTCTGCTTTTCCTACCTGCACCCGGGACTCGGTGAGACCGATGCGCAGGGCCAGCTCCTCCCGCATAAAGATGTCCGGGTAGTGAGTCTTGGCGAAGCTCCTCTCCAGCTCGTTGAGCTGCGCCGGCGTGAAGCGAGTGCGGTGGCGCTTCTGCTTCTGCTGACCCTGCTGCTGCCCGGCCTGGCTGGAGTTCTGGCCACCCTGCTGGCCTTGCTGCTTGTCAGCGTCTTTGGCGCTGACGGCTAGAGAGCTGGGGTTGGATCCCACCGTGGTGATGTCCTCTCCCGGCAGCAGGGTGGTCCCTTCCACCGTGTCCGAGTTGGGAGCCATGTCTCCCGGGTGTCCCCCCGGATCCGAGCCCCCGACGCCCA